ACCCTCCCCTTCTCATGCTGTCTCTCTCTCAGAAATAAATAAAACATTTTAAAAAATCTAAATATTCTTCCTGCTTAATTGCATTTATGCATGTGTGTGTTTTGTGCATGTTATGTGTACATTTTATTCAAAATAAAATGTTTTGTCCAATCTAGGTGTTGCTTACTACATTCTTCTTATTTTTACACTTAGACACATAGATCTTCAATTCTTCAAACAAACCAAGGGTTTCCTCCCTTCAGGGTCTTTGCACAAGCTTATTGTGCTGGCTGGAAGTCTCTTGCTTCCATTCCTTGAATGTCTAGCCCTTTCTCATTTTTTTTCAGATTCAGCTTAATGGATACTCACTTAAAAAGTAACTTTCTCTGACAATACTATATAAAGTAAATGTCTGATTTTTCTTTGTTCCCCTCTGTCTAGATGTGCCAATGTTTCCTTCATCCAGTTTTCAGAATTGAAATTATATTATGTATTCATTCTACTTTTTTTAAATAAGCCCTCTTCCTTATTTAATTCCATTAGGGGGGACTTTTTTTTGTCCTTTTTTACATTGTTTCTCTGGGTCATATTACAATAGTTAGCATCTTGTAGATGCAATATGAAATATTCAATAAATAAATATATAAGTGACTTCTCATTTGAAGAGGTTTGTGCACTATGTCTGTGAGTAAAACAAGTGTTTCCATGGTAATATCTGAGAAGTTAGTTTTTGAAATATTTGTCACTGCTGAATGAAATGAATTAGAACTATGATTCTAAAATTTCGTAAATATTCATTACATGCTAAGCATTGGCTTAACTAGAAATATAGGATATTATTTTCTTCCTTTCTTTGTTGTTTTTATTTATTTATTTTTTTGACCCATGACATTCCTAGGATAAGCCAACTTCATATTGCTACAGTATTGGTCAGAGACAAAGGGGATTAGAAGAGGTAAACCAAAGCGTATTTTTTCAGCCCAGACATAAATAACTTGATGCCAAATAGTATGCCTCAACTTCTATAGAGGGTGATTAAACTTCAATTATATGCCACTAGATTTATTTACAGTAAAAAGGGAAGTTCCTCCCTGAAGGAAAAAAGAGCTGAAGCAGTCTGTGCTGAAGTAGTTCTCAAACAATAAAATATTCTCTGGGGTTAAATAAGAGACCTTGACTCATACCTGGAAATACAACATTTTCAATATAGTCCTTGCATTAGTGAACCATCTGGATCAAATTATCCAAATTACATATGTATGGAAAGCAAGGGGTTAGCATCTGAAATGAAATCCTAGAAAGACCCTTTCAAGGGGATAGGATATAGAAGTTATAGAAGGCCCTCTAACCAGCACTGGTCACTAAAGTTCTCTATTTCTCTTTCATATTTGGTTCTGAGTGTGCTGTTGTCAAGCATAACGAAGGAAGATACTGGTTTCTCCACAGCTGTTACCTGTTCCTCCACCCGTCCAGCCAGATTACCATTCTCTTCAGAGAAAATCTGGTTTATCCCCAGCTGACTCCTTTTCAGCTCTTGATAGATGTTTCCTGTCTCTGGTGGAACAGGTCCTATATTAAGAGGTCTTTTCAGTAAGAGAGCTCCGTTTCCCTTCAGCTCTTCAGCCTCCTTTCTGCCCAGAGGATTTGAGGTATGTTCTTGCAAGTCTATCATTTCTAATTTTATTACGTGTTTGCCAGAGAGAAAACTCTAGAAGGGAAAAAGACTGTTGTTTAGGGCATTGTTTGCCACTAAATCCCCAGCACCTCACCATGTCCTGGTACATAGTTATGTCTAATAAATATTTACTGACTGACCCAAACCTACCATCCTATTAGATACATGAACTATCAGTTATATATTTTGCTTTCTAATTTTGAAATCTTTAACCCATATCGTTATTTCTGTCTTGGCCATTCGATAGGAGTCAGTGGAAAGTATTTTTTTTTATTTTTCCTGTTAAACTGAGGGCCAAGGAATTTGTAAATGATTTTATCATGACATGATTGAGTTGGAGACTAAAGAAATATATTTGTCATCTTAAAACTTTTGAGATAAATTACCTAGAACTATTGGGGAAATTTTTCTAATAACAAAGTAATTAGCAACAGAAAATACTGTATTAACAATTATGTAATAGATTATTTCAGATGATTCTAATGAAAAGGGATTCACAGTGATTTTGTATAATAGGGACTATGAACTTTTTCTGTTATGGTTGGTGGTTACTCTAGGGAAGAATTGAAGAAAAGGTCATACTTCACTTCACAATAATGAGAAGGTGGTAGAAACAGACGTGATTTCCAGTTCTACTTTCAAAGTGAACCTATAACAGTTTCAGCATTGATGTATCATATACTTCCAGAGAAGAGGAAAGTGGTGTCCCTCTTTCCTTGTTAAAAGTTTTTATTGTTTTGATTCTTTGTTTAAAGGAGTCCAATTCAGTGGAAAAGAGCGGTCAAGCACAGGACAATTCTCTGTGTTTGTGTTGATACTGGTTTTCATTTTGTGAGATGTTTTAGAAACCTCTTTCTAGAGGCTCTCTCAGTCCAGGAGGTTTTTACAGACTGAGTGTTTTAGTGGTTTGCCCTTAATTATTACCAATGATCCCCAGCTGCCTCCTCTCCCAGGAAGAAGATCCTCTTTGAGTTTAGCTTCAAATCCATACCTTCCGGACAAACCAAACATTTCAGAGTCTTCCACAAGCCTTTTTCTGAGGCTGTTGTAAAGCAGACATTAAATTTAGTGCTAGTTCAGCTCTTGACATTTGTTTTTCAGTGGTGTGTTATCACCTCATAATGAATATTGTGATTTCAAAGTGAGTCAGTGGTTGTGTTGCATTATGAGAAATAACTGAAAGTACATATGCTGAAGTTACATAAACACACTACTGTTTATGTTGGTAACAAATAATTTTGGAAAATGGTAAGTAAAAATAAGATACTGGAGCCATTAAGAGGCCTACTAATGGTGTAATGAATTACACGTGAGTTCTGACTAGCATAAAGGATTCAAGGAATTCAGAAGTTTTTTTGAACAACTTGATGTGTATCAACCAGTCGTATGTCCAAAACTTAGGCAAGCAATCAAAAATCTGATCTCTTCATGTAAATATTAACTGTACTAAATGTACCTAAACATGTTCATTTGAGAATAAGATAGTGGTAGTAGATACACAACATAAACATATTTTCACATAATGAGTCATTCACTTTGATGTGCAAAAATCATAAAACAAAGAATCAACTTTTTTTTATTTTGATCTTGCATAGGAAAGATGATGAAACAATGTTTTTTTTTTTTTTTTTTTCCTGAGGATAAGAACTGCTGAGGAATCCTTAAAACCTTGGAAATAGTCAAACTCCACAGGATAAATCTCCAGATTCCTAGAGGTTCAAAGGCATGCAGATGTAAATATCACAAGTGAAGCCAATGTGGAATTTTTGAAATTTCAATGCCATTGACTCTCTGAACTGGTGTGATGAGTTTTGCATGAAAATTTGGTTTTATTTAAATTCTAAAGCATTAGATAGATTCTGTGTGATCAACAATGTATGGCTTCAAAGTCTGTGATTGGCTATATTACCCCAGCAATGATCTGGCCCACACAATCATATCCTTGAAACTAACCTGCATAAACTTTAATCCATCTTTTTCTGCCAACTCAATCCTAACTTCTCTAAATTACATTTACTCTGTGTGTGTATGCATACACACACACATTCCACCCTTAAAGATAACAAATGAAAATGTTCAAAAAAAATAGGCCAGAGGGCAATTCCACGTGATGAAATTAGAAAACATTTAAATTAATGTTAGAATTTTTTAAGAGTGTATCACAGCTAAAAGTGACTATTTTGATAACCATATTTATGACATGTAGATGTTTTAACCTAATCACTTCTATTGCCAGAATTTTAGCTGTACTTGGCATGTGTGTGCACATGTGTACTTGTCTCTTTCTGGGAAATGAAAGTGAGGCTAATCCTTCAGATACGAGAGTAGTCTAGGGGAAAATATCCCCTGTTTTACAGGAGCGTTGTGAAATAATTAAATAAAAGTATAGGGCTAGAATGCTGTTCCTTTCTTTAGGTGAAAAAACATCTAACTCTTGTCAGGTACACTACTCGGCAAATAGTAAGTTTAATTCCTAACACCCACATGAGGCACAAGAATAGTTGGATTAACAACTCCAGTGTCATGCTGTCAGCTGCTGTTTATTTAAATTAAAATGTCACCATCCAGAAATAAATTAGGAAGTTGAAAAACGATAAATTTCTTAAACATACAGTACTTTGGCACCTTGTTAAAATCTATTACATTTGTGTTTTTTAGAACTTTACATAGACTATTTCCATTTTGACATTCAGACTAGAGCAAGTTTTGTTTGTGTTCTTCTCTCTTCCCCCCTTCCTTCTTCCCTCTTTGCCTTCCTCTCTCTCTGTTTTTGCCTGTCTTCATTGTCTGTCTATGCTATAGAAGGCAGGTTAAAAGGAAAAATGTTTGATCAGTACACAAAAATTTGTTGCTTTACTTCCACGTCTAAAACCTATTGTTTATCCTATGTTGATCTAAATACATCTACATTTTTTACAGATTTCAAAATTTGCTTTCTACAATTGGTCTTGCTGGGGTTCACTCTTAAGTGTTACTCCTATGGTTGATATGAAACCAATAGGCCCTCCCCATGAGCTTTTTCTTTCACTTGAAGGTTAAAATTCTGTCCCTACCTCTCTAAGACCTCTCTGTTCTATTCATAGCCTGAGATACTTTAAGATCCTTGTTTGGCTCTGGATTCATGGCCCAGCAGGTGGTTCCCTTCAAGAGCCAATTTGGTCATAAGTAGGGAGAATTAACAAACATCTGAGAAAGAAAAATGCTCCTTCTCTGTTCCCATTTGGGTGCTGCTAGCCTGTAACTTTGCAGACCATAAATGATGAGATGCTCACTATAATGCAGGTTAATTAAATATGAGACAGTTGAATACAAACATATTCAGCATTAACAACATGGAGATATTTACTTGGCCGGGTTTTCCATTTTCACATAAAAATGCCTCATATTCGGATGCGAATTCAGGGGCGTTGTCATTGACATCCAGCACTTTAATAGCAACAGGCACTCGTGATATCTGACTGTGGTTCCCTATGGGAAGGAAAAAATAGCATCAGCATTGAGGGTATTTCATTTTTACCGTGCAACTCAACTTTGTTCTTGAAAGCATGTGTGTCTGTTTCAACTTCCCTTAATTAGGGTGTTTTCAACATAGTGATGATGGAATCTGACCATTCAGTAAGGAAAAACAGCACGTGCTTGACTGCTTAAAAAAGGAGAAATTATCATTGCAAACACCATTTGCTGGAGCTTAGCTTTACAAAGACCATGTCTGAAAAACTTAAAAGAGGTTTCCTTGATGAAGAAAGCTTTATTTTAATGGTAAAATCCATTATACAAAAGGGAAAAAATGCTGTGTGAAACAAAGATTTATCTCTTTGTCTTGGGTAGAACACAGGCCCTTTTTGTGCTATTACCATATTTGATTGGCTGTATATTAAAGGTGAACATCAAAAACCCAGGAAAAGGCCAGAACCAAGTCAATTGTTGAAAGAATGTTTTGAACAAGGATTAAAAAAAATATTAAAGATGGGGAATCGTACTTTATATGAATTTTATTTTTTATTAAAAATTGACCTTGGTATCTTTTTGGGTAAGATAAGCCTAAGTCATTTTAATATTGTCATTTTCATCAGTGTAAACAGATAATAATCTGGTAATCTTCCAAGGTCAATTCCAACAGCAGAGAATTTAATGTATAATCCTTAATCCTTAAGTCCTTAAATTTAAAAAGTTACATACGCACCTACGTATGCACAGAAATCTGGCCTACCGATAAATTGCTGACTTTGGCCATGTGACAATTTTTCACTTGTAATAAATGCAATACAGTTTGTACCATGTAATTATAATTAGAGCTCTTGTAAGTGATATAGAATGCATTGGTGATGGCCAGTTACTTGTGTTTCCATGGCACTATTTACATGTAAGGCAGGAGGGGGGATGTGTGTGGCTTTTGAATATGAAGAGACAGACTTGCATTTGATCGAAGTCTTATTTGTGATAATTGATTAAATTAAAATCTCTAAAACATTCACTCTTTGTGTGAAATATGAAAATACTTCTAGTATGAAAATACTTGTAAAGCACACAACAAATAATCATAGCCATGTTAAAAATTTATAGTTTGTTAAACCCACTGGCAATGTTACAATATTCGAATTTAGTTAACTAAAATGGCTGCTCTCCAATGTTCTAATTTGATTAACTCTGGATGGATGAGTATTATCCTGTGGAATTCCTACTGCTTCAGTCATGGAACATAACCTCACTCCCCGAAATCAAGCCAATGGCCTTAAAGGTCTCTTCTTGTACTATTTTATATCTAATGAATGAATTGGTTCATTGAGAGAGGAACTATCGACCTCTCTAGTTTCAATGGAAAGAGTTGTATAAAAAAATCACATGACCCTAAGGGAAGGAACTTCTATTTTATCTTTGGTCTACTTGTGTAAGGTGGATAAATAGGTTGTAAGGTATTGTAAATACAACATTATTGTAACCTTAAAGATTTATACCTTTTTCCTAGGTGGACCATGAGTTGGATAGCAGCTGCTAGAGAGAAAAGGGAACCTAGTGTTTGCACTAAATAGCAAGGTTTGGGGCCCCAGTTTTGCCTTGTACTGCCTACATGATCCTCAATAAGTTCCTCAACCTTTTATTTCTGAGAAAATTGAAACTGAAAAACTTAACACTTTATTTCCAGGATTATTATAAAAGAAAACATGAAGTGCTCAGATAGTATTAGGCACATAGTCTTGGGCATTTGAGCCTTTGCCCTTTGTAACTGTCAGCATGATCAGTACCATGCATACTGTTTAGTATGTGCAGTAAGATATTTCACATAATTAAATCTTCAATCCTACATAAATTATAACTGTATAGAATGTAAGTATGAATTACATTAAATTCAATGTAATTGCCATATTTTGATGGGAGACAGTTAAAAATTAACTCGAAGATAGAGTTTTGGACTCCCAAATATAAAACCTTTGCATAGCATAATACTGATGAACTTCAAAAACAAAGTATATTAAGGTAACTAATCGTGGCCTTTTCTTCAAGAATACTTAGTCTTATTCTAAATCTTTACCTCATGAATGACCACTATTTGAAGTTTGAGTACAAATATCACATACCAAAATCGATCTATCATGAACATTCTCAGAATTGTACAATAATTTGCAAACCTCCCTGAGAGACTGAACAGTTTAAGTTCCATATTTTTGTTCAAGGTACTATTTCATCCAAGTACAGTCCCTTAAACTGACTTATTTTGTAATTCTCTACCTCTCTAACCATTCAACTAATAACCAGTGATCAAAATAGGCTTAATAAGTAGCATATATATAATAGATAGTGAAAAATAGTGCATACTTTTTGGAAACTATTAAGTACAAGGAAAAACTTTGTATCCTACTGCTTTAAGTATGATTTTGCTCCTTGGAAAGTGAGGAAATGCTAACCTCGAGGCAGATTCACAGACAATGGATGATTGGTCAACTCTGCCAAACTGATGGTCTTTGTTTTCCCTTTTAGGATGCACACACCTGACAGGCAAACATGCATACACAATTTTTTCCCCTCACAATTATGGCAAAGAATAATTATGCTAAAGCTGGTGTTCTTTTCTCCTCTTGATCTCAGAGTTGGAAAAAATTGTAGTTATCTTTCATATCTAGATGGGCAATAGGTGGCAAGATTCTAGCACAAACACTAAAAGCTCCATGAGCTTTTCCATGGGATAATTCTCAACATGAAGGTACTATCCATTTTCTCATATGTAGTATCAGGGATAAGGTGTTTAAAACTATTCCAGGGCTCAGAGCCTTAATGTTGTGGTTAGAAGTAATGTGGGATGGGCAGCTATCACTTAATACTGTTAGGAGAGCTTGAATGACAGAAGGTTCTTCTAATTAAGGTTTTTAATTTTTCTCCATACTTCTATGAGTAAATAATTTCTGGTAAGATAATAGACAGTGAAGTAAATGATTTTTTTTCCTTCATTTTGGCCTGTGGAAAACGCAGAACTAAATGTGGAATCCACTTCACACAACTGGAAAGAATCCCTTACTATGTATTTGGTGTATTATGTTGACCCAAATCCAATGCATATTTTACATTTATTTAAAAATGCCCAAATTTACTAAACTCATATTTTATTACATACTTAAATTTGATATATTTTGAGGTGTTTGCTTTTGACTTAGTAGTTTACAGTATACCTTATTAAAAGAAATCTAAATTGTACCCCCTGGTACTATGCTAGTGGATGGTTAGAATTTCTGTAAGCTTAGTGCTTACATAAAACATAATGGACCGTTAACCCTAACAAAATAATACAATCCCTTCTCTTTTTAACTGTGGAATTCCTGATTATCTTAAGATTCAGCCCAAACATCTCTTCCCAAAAGACTTTCTAACACACAGTTCAGGTTGGTTTTTGTTTTTGACTTGTGGCATGTAAACATGAGGATAACCACTATCCCATTTCCCATAAAAACCAGTTAAAAATTTTCATTTTAAAAATCTAATTAATTTATTTTTGAGAGAGAGAGGGAGACCATCTGAAGCAGGCTCCAGACTCTGAACTGACAGCACAGAGCCTGACAGAGAACCTGAATCCACAAACAGTGAGATCATGACCCAAGCCAAAGTCAGATGCTTAACCGACTGAGCCACCTGGGTGCCTCCATATATATATATTTTTTTTTTTTTTTTAATTAGAATTTTAAGCCGGCTCCAGGCTGAGCACAGAGTGTGACATGGGGCTTGATCTCATGATTCTGGGATCATGTCCTGAGCTGAAATCAAGTTGGATGCTCCACCACTGAGCCACCGAAGCACCCTGAATGACACAGACACATATTTTTTTTAAATTAAAGTCTGTGGAAAATGTCCTAAGTGCATACAATAAATAAAAATATTTATTCAAGAAAACCTGAATGTTGGTAAGAGAATCCTGTGGTATTTGAATCAAGACCTGCTTCCTTCCCTTACCATTACAGCTCAGGACAATGAGAAATCTACTCTGGACAAACACAACCAAGAGCACAGCTAGTCAAGGGATATATACCCAGAACTGCTCATATACCTGTTGCTCACACTAAATTTGGGGCAGTTGCTGGTTGGGGGCTGCCCTTTTCCACCAAGTCCCTACTCATGGGACACACTTAAACTTTTGATAGGGTCTCACTGAGGATGGTGGGCCCTGATCTTCCTTGCCATGGCTCATAAAGGGAAGTTTCATGCTGAGAGAAGTGAACCAAGAAGACTCAAGGCTATTACTCTTCTCCACCAGACTCTACCAACACAGGAGACACCACTCCTAAAGCAGTGTCACTTAGAAAGCCTTGGCTGAGTCATTTTGTCTGGGGTTGAGTCGAAGAATGAAACGTAAAGCACAAAGAACTGAATCTTTTAGAAAGAATGGACATCATTTCTAAAGGAATGTGGAAAAGATCAACACCAGTGATTATCTCCAAACAGTGGAGATTGTTGCTACTTGCTGGAGGCAGGGCAGCCAAGGCATTCTTTGGTTTTAGTTCAAGAACTCCAATCTCTGCCTCGATGTTCACAGGGATTTTTTTTTTTTTCCCCGCTTGCCACGTTTTCTACTTTTCTGTCTCTAATAAAGACACTTATTACGGATTAAGGCATACACAGCTAATCAAGGATGACTTCATCTTAAAATCTGCAACTTCATCACATCTGCAAATCCCCTTTTTTCACATAGCACATTCACAGGTTCCTGGGGTTAGGACCTGGACTTCTATTTTTGGGGGCTGCCACTTAAGCCCCTATATTCCTTCTTCTCAAAAGCTAGGACCTTTGTGACTAAATAGAATGATACTATCACAAATGTGCTCCTGTCCTAGAAAGCAAAGATATGTATAAATACTTGAGTTGTCCCTGCTTCTTTGAATTCATTCTTCAACACAATATATAAGCTCAAGGATGTTGAAAAAGCTCATAACTCCCTCCTGAGATTTTTGATAACATCCTTTTGTCATTCATTCATTTATTTTCTC